GAGTTTTAATTAACCATTAGACTGTACAATGGCTTGGACTTTATCAAATGTCTGGACGCATGTTTGTGATTATTTAGTGAATATATCTAGTGAATATATCTAGTGAATATATCTAGTGAATATATCTAGTGAATATATCTAGTGAATATATCTAGTGAAAACATATATATATACATGTGACAAATGCCAGTACTCTGCTCAGCCGACAAGACTTCATATGTAACAAACAGAACGGCTACGTTTCAAGAAGTTTATTAAAAAAAGATATATTAAATACAAAAACTAAATTTTCGGCTGCATGCCACAGCCTTCTTGTGGCATGCAGCCGAAAATTTAGTTTTTGTATTTAATATATCTTTTTTTAATAAACTTCTTCAAACGTAGCCGTTCTGTTTGTTACATATATATATAATATATATATATATATATATATATATATATATATATATATATATATAAACAGTTTTGTTTTTCGTTATAGATAAAAGAGTGCTCAATACTACAAATAATTCGCGCGTGCGAATAATGACGGTGCATGCACGTCAGCAAACTATAGATCACGCCATTATAACGAACTGAATTTAATCGCCTGAAGATTGCCACAAATAGTGGCATGAAACTTAAAGTAGCGAGAAATTGAAACATTTTAAGATAACAAATTATATATATATATATATACACTCCGCAACGTACGAATGAAATTTGATATAAATTCATTGCAATTCAAGTTTGAAGAGAAAACGCTCCTGTATGATTCAGAGCTAGGTTTTGTTGGTAGTCAAGGACTATTAAAGTAATAATATAGCAATAATATTATATATATGTATACATTGTACGTAAGTGCGGTACACTAGCTATAATTAATATTATAAAAAAGGGTGGTGGAGTAGGTATATACGTTGCTGAAAATTTACAACATAAATTACGCAAAGACCTCAATGTTAACATAGAAGACACCATTGAATCTATATTTCAAGATGCTATAAATGAAATTTTGAGCAAAGTAGATAAAGAGAATAAGATCTGTTATCTCATGTCTAGGCTTTTTACAGATGAAATTAAAAATGTATGTTGGGAAGGAACGATTTCTTGCAATAACCCAAACAAGTCCTTTAACCAATTTTCTACATTATTCACAGCTAGTTACAGCGTTGCCAGGTCCAACTTTGTAAAAATCCCAATGAAAGCTCAAAAAATCCCAAGATTCCGTGTTTTTTCACAAAAAATCCCAAGATCCACTTTCATTCCCAGTCTACATTTGAATGTGTTTTTAAACAAAAATAGGTAGATCTACCTATTTTTGTTTTGGTTAATTAAAACTCTGTCTGTATATTTTTAAAATATTATTTTACCTTTTAATTCTTCATCATGTTGCCATAAGGGATTATACTTTTGTGTATACCAATCCTTTTTTGCTTGCTTTGGCATATTTTTATGGCATAAAAACCATAAAAGTGATAAAACTCTTTTTTCACCGTTTCGCGCCTTTTTTCGGAAATTGTAATTTTGGTCATGCGGGCTTAAATTCCATACGATATACTTTATATAATGTAAATGAAGAGATTGTACAACTACAGTCAGTGGAATACTATTAGTTTGTTAACTAAGATTTTTTATTTTAGTTTGTTAACTATTAGATATATCAGTAAAATTTAATTATTTTTCTTGACTGTTTCTTAAAAATCCCAAGAAAAATCCCAAGGTCTCATTTCTCAAAATAAAATCCCAAAAATATCCCAACCGCTTCAAAAAATCCCAAGATCTTGGGATAAAATCCCAAGGCTGGCAACGCTGCCTGAACTTCAGGTTACCCGCGCCACAGAATAAAGATCTGTGCCCGCGCTCCTTGTGCAGCGGTCGCACCCATGGCTGCACGTATTTGATTGGCTGAGAGATATTCAAAAGGAGATTTGGAGGGAACAACGAACAACAGACACTGAAAAGGCTTCGAAGTTGATGAAATTTTAGGTTAAAAACCTCAGTTTGGACTTCAGATACTTGAAGTAGAAATTCGTGAGGTGAACAGCATGGCCAAGATATCTTTGTTGAACATATTTGATGATTTAGTTCGCACATCAGACGTCCTGACGGCCGGTATTGAGAAAGGTAATGTCCTTGCTTCGATGGTCTGCATGTTTGAAAAGCTTTGGATAAGGGATTTTGTCTTAGAATGATATAAACATTTCTTCGCTTGACATAAACATTTACTTTGCTTGCGATTACCATTTGTCTTGTTTTCTAAATAATTGGAGGGATTGTCCATGTTCAAATCGATTCACTAATCACTATCAATCAATCTCAATTCGCTATTCGCAAGCTGGTCGTTTCAGTACATATTTTTTCTTTTAGAATTTATAGCGTTTGTTTCACATCAAGAAAATTGTCGTCAACAGTGGTGTTTAGAGCAAGATGAACTTACAAAACTAAGGAAAGAAAACGCCAAATTAAAGGTAAGTACTTTTATGAAAAGTTGAATTAATATGAAAATCATGTCTAAGCTGACTATTGTCTATTGAACACATAAAAACATGCTCAATATTGCTGGTTAAAAAAAAGATTCCAAAATATTCAACTTTTCAGTTTCAGAGGTAGTCAGCTTTGATAACGTCTTGGGTGATCAAAAGCTACTTCAGCACTGAGTTTTACAGGAGATACCCTGTAAATACTTGATATTAATTAAAAAAATTTTGAAATTAATTAAA